TGAAATATAAACTGCTAAGGACAGGAAATCTCTGTTTCTTTTGTTTACTGCTAAGTCTGAAGGGTGCAGAACAGTTCTCGGCATATAGTAGATACGTAATACTATTTGTTGAATAGATGAATAATTTAAATAGCCATGTCTTCTCAGAGAGTGGGAAAATGGGCTTATGAGAATGGGAAAAATTGGGGACTTACCAGGCAGTCTTAAATGCCCATTTGAAGTTGATTATCATTAACTTATAATCAAGTCAGTTAGCTTGGTTGAGAGCATTTCCCCAGTAATATTTTGCTTCTCAGGTACAAGTTTAGAGAAATGGCGGATAAGGTCCATCTGGGATTTGTTTGTTTGTTTGTTGTGTGTGTGTGTGTGTGTGTGTGTGTGTGAGAGAGAGAGAGAGAGAGAGAGAGAGAGAGAGAGAGAGAGAGAGAGAGAGAGAGAGAGAGAGAGAGAGAGAGAGAGAGAGAGAGGTTTTCACAAGAAGAGAGAAAGGCAAGAGAAATAAAAATATAAAGTGACTAAGAATATAAAATATATGCAAGCTAAGTGTTAATAATGGAACTGTTAAAGGTCAATAATTTTAAAGTCTCAATGAGGCTGAGGCTGAAGGAATATATTATGGATATTTGAGAAATAAAGATTGTGGATAGGAGGTAAAGTTCTGAGAGAAGAATGTTAGAAATTAATATTTTTGAGTTTCTATTTTATTTTATTTGTGAAGGCAACATATAGAAATGGTCCTAGAAATGAATCATTAAAATGGAGTGGATGAGAATATCTTTGAAGTTGTGCATCTCAAAGAATTGAGAGAATAGAGACTTCTACGTGAATTTTGAAATAGCCAAAAATTATTATGATCCATGAACATCATCAATAAACAAAGGAAAACTTACCAGATAGCCAGTAGACAACAGAAATGAAAAGAAAAATAAAGTGATATAGTTTAATGAAATAATTTTCAAAGGAACAGGTGATTTTGTATAGAAAAGGAGTAATGGTTATAGTCTTAATAGGACAAAGATGAACACTTATCCAAGAAGTTAAATCTTTTAGTATTTTATTGATTACTTCAGTAGTATAATTATTTTTATTTTTATACAGACTCCTACAACTCTTCCAAGAGCAGCTGGTAGAGAAACGAAATATGTAAGTCTTCTCATAATTCTTCATAAAAACACATACTGCTGTTTCTTAAATAAGTGTATATATTTGCTTTGGGGGCAACTCAGTTATATAGTCATTTAAATTGAATTAGTTAAATTTTTTTTTCATAAGTGGGAAGAGGTAGAATGGTATAATTGACTTGGACGTGGAAAATCAAGTTATGTCAGGTAAGTTTATTGAATAAATTCCTTTTCAAATGAGGTCTAGTTTAATTTGGCTAAATAAAACAACTTTAACACCTGCTTTCTGTCTTTCTAATTATCAAAGCTTAGATGACATTTTCATTTCTGTAATAGTTTAGTGTGCTTATTAGTCAATAGTTAACTCATATACTTGAAACATTCATTTGTCCATTTCTAATGGGATTGTCAGTTTAGTTCATTTTGACTAGCTCGTTGCTTTCTTGCATTTAAATTATTATTAAATAATCCAATTTCTAGTTGTGAGCAAAAATAGATTAATAATGAATATATAGATATAGACTCATAGACTTGATTCAATTAATTATGGGGAGCTGAATATCCTAGAAACAAACATATATTGCCTCACTCCAACCCTACTCTTCATTCTCCTAATAATCTATCATATAGCCAACTTCTGCTTTAGACCAAATATATTACAGTAGAAAAAGATTGTTTCCTAAGCAAGTGTTTAGTTTTTAGTTTAATACAGACCATTAAATTATTCTTTTTATATTATGTATTATATTTTCTAATATGTAGCTTTCATCATCATCATCATCATCAAGAATAGTTATTAAATTTATATTTTGCGACATATCTTCTTTATAATTTCTATCTTCATTTGAGTCTCTGTAAGGCATAAATAAATGGGTGAAATTACTGAATTTTATCACATTCAGGAAATGATGTTAAGAGGGCATGAGTAGGAACACTGTTTAAAACATTTCCTAGAAGCTTTCACTGTTATTTTTTGTTATTATTGGTAGCCATTTGGAGTAATACTTAAAAGACTGGAGGCATTTGGTGGGCTATACACAAGTGTACATCATGGTATCCTGCTTAGTAACCATCTGATCCCGGAAAATCACTTAATCTCTCTGTGCTTTAGTTTTTTCATATATAATATTGAGATACTAATAACCTTATTTTGTTGATGTATGGTTTAGATTGGTTAATGTAAGAAAAGCCTTTAATGTAGTACTGACACACTAGAATTGCTTAATAAATAATAATTCTTCCTTTTCTTCTTCTTTTTACCCCCTTGCTTTTTCCTTCCCCATTGTCTCCTCTCTTCTCTTTTTTCCCACCTACCTTGGAAAGACTAAAAGCACCATGAGTTAACTGAGTTCCTTGATTCTTCAGTTGGGTATAAGAAAAGAAAGTATCCTAAAGATATTTCTATACTTTTTGTAATTAATAAATTCTACAAGAGCCAGACTCAGAAAAAAGTAGCTAGACGTTTTTCATTCTCTCACTTTTTTTCTCATGTACTCCTGCTTTTCACCAGAATGCCTCTGATTTAGACTTATATGCAATAAGATGCAGAGGGCTGATGTCTCCTCCTACCCCTCCATGGGGGTATTTATTTTGATAGGAATTAGAATAATTCGGGGCAGAGGAGCTGCTTTGATCTCCATAGTTCATGGTTATTTTAAATTATTCTATAATCAGTTATCAGACTTAATTAAAGTCGGTTAACATTTGCCCTGAACTTTGTGAGAGCATTTGAGTCAGAGTTTACACTGAATCATCAAACAAATTTATTATAGACTAGAACAAATACAAATTTTGATTCAGATAAGATTCTTGTCTTTGATTAAATTTGGTTTCTTGAGTGAGAGGCTTTGCTCTTTACTTTCTCTTACAACATGACATTTGAATTATTTTTGACACTTCAATATATTCATTTCTTTTGGAAAACTATAAGGGATAACTTTCTGGGGAAGGTAAAAACCATTTCTTTGTTGCCAACTCATAGATAAGTCACACTTGTAAATATTTTGCTACAGTTATTATATTTACTAAGTGATGTCTGATACATATGTGAATCTGAGATATCTATGGACTTTAACATTTCAATATTCCACCATCTCTTCAAAACTTTGAAGAAAATAGGCATCTTTACAGTATATATCTGCCAGGATTCGATGTGTCATTGACTTTGTAGAGATTTTTAGATTAGACTTGAAGCAGAGATCACTCAGTTTAATAACTCCTGCACCACAGAGGAAAAAAAAAAGAAGACTTACATTAGATCCAAGAAAAAAAGTTTCGTTACACCTGAGAATATCTTTAACAGATTAGCACAGGCCACTTAAAATCCCTATTTCTGGGTGCTCTTTAAAAGTATAATATATAATCTATGAATCATGACTAATAGAAACTCTAGTCAGTATTTTCTAGCTCCAGTATTCATTTTTCCTTTTGTTCATTGATTTGATAAATATTTATTGTGTGTCTGCCATGTTCCATTACTCATGGAAGAGTCACTGAGATGATAAAGATGAATACAACAACAAGCTTCCCATTTCTCAAGGATATGATGGAGAGATCGTAAACAATTAAAACAGTCAAGGAGCAAGATACTTTCTCATAGAAATTAGAAGAGAGTTGGCCAAAGAACTGGTTGATGTTCAAGTAAACTTACAAAGTTGCTAGTTTCAGTACATCAGTATATCCACTGGATTTCCAATTACCCTGGGATGATTATAATGGTTTAATTAAATAATCAGAAATTATATGACTAATTCTTATTAATGAGGACTTCGGTGAAAGACGGACTTGTCTTCATTAAAAAAATGCAAAACAATTAGGTTCTTTTTCTTATTTTTTATTGTACATATTACATAGTTTGTTTACATATTGTACACATTACATAGTTTGTTTTTAAGATGAGCAGTAAAAGTACCATCAATTTAGACTAATTAAAGCCAGGTTTTCTTTAGTTTATGGTGTACTTGAATTGTATGTCATTTTTTAAAGTACAGTTGACTGTTGAATAACATGAGTTTGAACTGTACAGGTCCACTTATATGCAGATTTTTTCAATAAATACTGTAAATGTATTTTCTTTCTTATGGTTTTCTTATGTTTTCTTTTCTCTAGCTTACTTTATTGAAAAATACAGTATAATATATATACCACAAAATATGTGTTAATCAACTATTTATGTTATCTGTAAGGTTTTTAGTCAACAGTAGACTATTATTGGTTAAGTTTGGGTCGGGGAGTCAAAAATTACATGTGGATTTTTGACTATGTGGGGGTCGGGAGTGGGTGCTCCCAACCTCCTCATTGTTCAAAGGCTGACTGTGATTTAATTTAGGTTCTTTTACACGTAACAGAATTTAAACTAGGCTAAGAATATGTTACATGATTGCCACAGGTCACTTGTGGAATCGATTATGTTAATTTATCATCAATATTTTACTGGATTGTTTTAAACCGATGCCAAATTCAACAACAATAATAATAATTGATATTTTAAGTTCTCACCTTTCAAATGAGGTTTAACTATCTCATTTAACCTTACATCAATTATATGAAGTAGATATTATTTTTACAAAATCTCCATTTTACACAGGAAGTAACCAAGTCTCAGAAGTCACAGTAGGCAAAAACAACCCAGGTTTTCCACATATCAAAACTCCTGCCATTGATACTCATGTGAACCTACAGGTTCTGGAATAGTTTGTCTTCTTTAAATATTTTATCCATAAGTATTTATTCTCTGTGTCTAAATCATTTCTTCATGCCCAATAACCTTCAGTCTAACTTTGAGTGAATAATTTCATATTTGGTAATAATATCTAAGATGATTATGTTTTACTATATTTCATATGTTTTAAATCACTTGCTTTATGTAAATTGACTCATAATTTATCAGATACTGTTTGAGTGAATATTTCTCATGACGTTCATTTTTAAAGAATTTCGTTCCCCCTATGTAAGGAAGTAAATTTTCTATTTAAATTTTTATTTTACTATGTTTTCACAATCATCTTTGAAAGGAAATATCATGTTTTTCATTGCATCATCATGTCTTTGTAAATGTTTATTATTTTTTATTACTTACTACCTATTTAAATTTATTTCATTTATATAATGCAAAAACATAGTACACTTTTTAAAATAAAGAATAACCTCAGAAAATAGGGTAAATATTTGATCCTATTAAACCCTTAGTTGGATTTACATTCTATTGATAACAATGTATTTCATAAACAGACTACATTTAAAGAGCTGCTTTTAAGTGCCAGAGAAATAACAGAGACAAGCTTATTTAATATTATATAGTGTGCAGATAAGATGTCATTTTAATGAGCTTGAGGAACAAAAAAATACCATTACAATTGCATTCAATGGAGAGATCAATTAATACATCATCACTAATTATTGCTTTTGAAATATCACAATATATTAAAAAGTGTCAAACTTTATTAAAAATATTCCCCACTATATGTTCAGATATTCAAATAAAGGTCATCGGCTCCAATTTAGCCATCTCATAAACTACCTTTGTTGCTATGCTTGGAAAATGTTGCTAGGCTGAATTGTTTCAGAGGTGATGTGCACTAATGTAGTCATAGATCTTAGGGCAATACATGACTTAAATCCAAATCATTTAAATTAGACCTGGGTCTAAATCTGCTTCCATATGATGCAACTAGAGATTTGATGAGTTACAAGAAGGGTTGTGAATAATTTAAGTAATAAATTCCAGTCTACAAATTATTTTATTTATTTTATTATTCAGAAATATTTATAAGATATGCTTGTTTAAAAGGAGATAAGGAAGCAATGGAAGATAATTATCTACATTCTGCTAGATGAGGAGGGAAAGCCTTAATAAGACATGCTTTGTACTTTATATACTTCTCATTATTTTAGAATTTATCAAGCATAACAGTGCTATATTTCAGCCAAATTTCCTCTTGATCCAGTCTTTTATCTTCTCATTTGAACATATAAACTATGACTGTTACTGGTTACTATGCCCACTTATGCTGCTTACCAATT